AAAGGCCTCTCTCATGGGGTTGTCGTCTTCATGGCTGGAACTCATTCTATCTCATTTTTCAAGGGTGATGAGAACTTGGGCTATAACTCGAATTTATTCTTTTTCAAGAACGTGCCCTTTTCAGGGTAAGTCGCTAGTTTTTTGGTGATTTCTCCGGTGGAGAATGTAGAACTTTGAACGGGAAATTTCCCACAGACGGCGCTAATCTGTTGACCTCGAAAATTGACCCTCCACGTGGCCAACCAATAGCCACTCCACGTATTCCTCCCTGCACACAGTCAACGCACGGTCAGATGCACACGGCCTGAACCAGCGAGGGCGGCGGCGACCATATACACTCCGACGGTCAAGTTAGGCTCAGGTGATCGAAACAGTACCAAGGTTGTGCAAAATAGTGATCGGAACGGTCAAGTTAGGCTTGGGTCGATTAGCTTCCCCACGTCCTCTAGGCCATCAGAACCACAAGCGGAACTGCAACAGGGGAAACACCATTCTCAATGACCTACGGAGCCGAGGCCATGAGCCCGGTCGAGGTCGGGATCCCATCGCACCGTCGAATACACTTCAACGAGATCAGTAACAACGAGGCCCGAGTAAACGAACTCCACTTCCTTGAAGAAATGAGGGATACCTCCCAGGTGAATTTGGCAAAGTATCATAGAAAAATGACCTGCTATAACTTCAAGGTCAGAAACCGAACTCTTAGCCTGGGGGACCTCGTCCTCAGAAGGGTTTTCCAATCATCAAACCCAACAGGGTCCGGAGTGTTGGGACCGAACTGGGAAGGTCCTTACCGCATCCGCAGGGAATCCTAACGTGGCACTTTCGAAATTGAAGACATGGCAGGGAAAATACTACATCATCAATGGAACATCGAACACTTGAGGAAGTATTATCAGTGATGAGCTTTTGTTTCGATCCGATCTCAATGTTGTCTAATAAATGTATGTCTTGATCCGATCTCGTTTGTAATTTCCCTAGATTACTGAGTGCTGAAAATGCCTTAGTAAAGGGTAATGTAACTTCTCCAAGTAATGATACTTCAATTCTTTGTCACATCGATTGGTAAAGTGTTACCTCAGTCCTTCAATATGTTTACTTAAGTGATCCGATCTTCTGTCATTAACTGGTTATTCTTAAGAGGCGCTTAGTCTTAAGTGCTTGTCATTCATATATGTGTAAACAGATCGACAGGATAAGAAAACAGAAGCAATAATACTTGGCAAAAATTTCATTTCATTCACTTGAAATTGAGTTACAAAAGAGGCCGAAGCCATTACAAGATTAGCCCTATTCTACAGGAGGGCCTTCCTCGCTAGCCTCTGCCTCGCCCGCCTCGGGGGCCTCTGGAGCATCCTAGGCAAGCCTAAGACCGGCCCTAAGGATCGCCTCGCTTATCGCCACGCACCCTGGCCTAGGGTAGCAGGCCCTCTCATCAGGTTCGGGTAGGATCAGGTCTATTCTATTTGAGATTCTATATTCAGTCCTAAGTCTTTCTAGGTCGGCCTCCTTTAGCTTGGAGCGATAATCCGACGCCCCCAATGCACAGAGGTATCTATTAGGCTATTTGGCTTCTTCCAAACGTTCTCCCCCCAAGTATCGCTTCGACTACTTCGGAGGAGGTCGCCACAATGGGCTTGTCCATCCACACTAACTCCAGCCCCCTCCCCGAACTAGCACTACCCTTAGAAGCCATTTTCAGAAAGGAAATGTCTCAAATATTTACTGAAACTTATGAGTTTGAGTGTTCCCTAGCCGGAAATGGTCAAAAAGCGGTGTGTGGTCGCCGAAAATTCAAATTTCTTGTCGAAAATGCTTGAAGAACGTCGGAAATCGCAAAGAGTTTGAGAGGAAATGGGATTTCTGTTTTCGCAAGAGTGAAAAGCTCCAAAAACGCTCAAGTTTGCCTTTTATGGAGCGCTCTAACTAATCTCAACTTTTGAATTCAAATGCAATCAATCTAGGCCGATCGTCGCATCATCAATCTAGGCTGTTGAAATGAAACGCCAGATTTGATCTACGCCTAAGATTTTGCTGTGACCTTCATGCTCGCATAAAACGCGTCGCCTCGGTCACCATCAGTCATCAACAATAAGTAGCTACAGCAGCCTTTTAGGTGAATGGGCGCTGCACCCAACTGTCACCTTGGAAATATGCAATAGCTGTCAAATCATTTAACGTCAGATACGCCCGCTTCGGATCAAGCTCCTCACTCAACTTTACAAAGTTTAGACGCATCTGATGTGGAGTCCCCTGTGGGTCATCGCCTCGGTCGCTGCGTTCCCTCTTAAACTTTACAAAGTTTTAGCCATCTCCCAACGCGTCGTCCCCTATAGGTCAGCCCACCCGTGGCAGATGAGCTCCTTACTCAGCTTTACAAAGCTTAGACGCATCTGGCGCGGAGTCCCCTGTGGGTTATCGCCTTGGTCGCTACGTTTCCTCCTAAGTTTTACAAAGTTTTAGCCATCTCCCAACGCGTCGTCCCCTGTGGGTCAGCGCATCGGTGCAGATGAGCTCCTCACTCAGCTTTACAAAGTTTAGACGCACCTGACGTGGAGTCCCCTGTGGATCATCGCCTCGGTCGCTCCGTTGACCGTCTCCCTACGCATCGTTCAGTTGGGCAGTACCTCGATCTCACATAATTTTTTCCCTCACGTAGTACGAAGCTTTAGCGCATCTGCTTAGGATCAACGCTTCGGCGAACACAGAAGATCGACCCTCAAGTTCTCACAAATCACGATCCCCATCCCGAGGCATACATACCCAATCGGGAAGACATGTCCACCCACGATATAAATATCCATACTTGGACTTGGGGGACCACAGTTACGCCCCTATCTGAACCACTTCGGAAAGTCCACCACCACATCATGCGAGGTGTGGAACACTCATTCGAAGTGGTTCCGAAGTGATTCACCAATGGTGACGATCTGCTATCACACTACGAGGCATAGGCAATTCTGCAGGACTGATCGAAGCGCCCTCGCCCTTGAATCCGAGGCGAAATGCACTCCGGGGACCTCTGTCAGAGGATCCGCCGTCAATTTCAGAATGAGATCTTTGCAAGGATCTTTTCTGCCCCTAAGGTTTAAAGTGATTTGACGTCTCCATGAGGTTAGTTGATGTGACGTATCAACTTTATGTCAACTCAACTCGGGAGAAGTAATTACCTGCCCACTCTATAGACGCGGTTGATTGACGCCTATGAGCAGACACCTCATACCGTCAGATGTATACACGTGTTCGACATCCACCGGTTCCCCTCACCTATAAATATCCAAAGCTTGGCAAGAGGCAAAGGTAATGAAATTCTTACTACTTAGCACTCCATAGCAAGAAAAAATATATATATATATATATATATATATAGGTTTGAGGGGTCACGATCCACATAATTTGCCATATGTTAATCATCATTAACATCACAAGCAGTAAATTGAATTTAATTGTCCCAATTAACAACCAAATTGATCCAATTTCGACCACAAACTGCCTAACCAATTCAAACAGCCTGTCACCTTCAATTCATGGCCCCACCATGCTTCGTTCTACCAATTTATCCATGGGCATTTCAAATCAGGTTCATACTTCAACGGATAAGTGTCCAATTGATCCAGATTATTCACCAAAGGCATCTAAAATTGTTGCTACCAAAAATCGTACCTGTTAATTTCCCGAGCTTGAGGACTTTGAATGAGCACGATCGTAGTCTTCAAGTTCCTGAAACAAAGACAATGAGGTATGCTCTCGTTGCCTCTCCGATGCTTAAGTTAGAAAGGAGATTATATGCGTGAGGTTATAAACTGGAGAATAATGAAAACGTACCTGAACAATGACACATGATCTTGTATTTATAGTAGTAGGTGACATTCTCCTAGTGGGATTCAACTAGCTGGGTATCTCTATCCAACGGAGTCCCATTAGGTGAAGGAGTTGGACCAATGCCATAATTATGTTTGGGATAGAATCCTTGTGGGAGTCAAGTATTGAAGTAATAGGGTAGAGTTAGAGTCCCAATCATATAGGAGTCTTATTGGGTCAGTACTAACAATCGTAGGCTGCGAGGGAAATATATCCCGAGGACAATTCTTGCTCGAGGACAGGATCATGAAAATGAGGATACGGCAAGGCTACAAGTGCTCGAGTATATATCCCGGGGAATAATGCTCGAGCACTACAGATGTGAAATCGTTAGAGTTTCTGAGAAACGTCCTCGGGATAAGGTGTTCGAGCATAACGAAAACTTTCTGTATCACTGGTTCCCGTGCATTCGACCCTGGGATCGGGCTAAGGAAGTTAAGCCAGGGTGCGAGATGCATAGAACTCGATTTGCTAATAATTGATGTCGTCGAGATTTTAATGTTTTAAGGGGAAAGCCAGTGTGGAAATAACAAGAGCGCGAGCTGTCCCAGTAAAAAATGAGGGGTCCCTGGATGGGAGACATGTGGCATGGGTCAAAGGTTGAGATTGATGTGACCCTTGGTCTTCCACCAAGGTTTTATAAATACCCCATGATTCTGTTCATTTTTCACTCTCTGTGAATCTTCAAGTGCGAGATCAGGGTCGAGCTATAAACTTAGCTTTTGTTGTTTGGGCGTCGGGTTCCTTGAGGTAAGGCTCTGGACTTTTAAGTTATATCTTTAGTTTGAAATTGAAGAGATGTCGAGCACTGAGAGTGATCGGGGATCTGAGAGTTCGGGTAACTCTGGGGACCGTAGGACTCAGTTAATACCTATAGCCGTTCCTTTAGATGCTCGACCTAGGGAGCTAGACGTTGTCGAGCTTAAGTTTCTCGACGTCTAGTGTAGGTTTAAAGAACACCTAGCTATGCAGGCGACGAGGGAATGTGGGCTCATGCCCTACAATGACTGTAGGGTTCCCGACCCCGAAGATAGAATGAATAGGGCACTGGAAGGTGAGTTTGTGATTTTTAGGGACTCTTTAAAGGCTAGGTTCAGGTGGCCCATGCGTTCATTTTTTGTTGATTTTTTAGTCAAGCATTCCATGTGCCCGGGACAATTAGTGCCCAATGGGTGGAGAATGCTCGTTTACTTCTTCATTGCTTGTAGATACCTAGGTATCACGCCATACCTTGACCTATGTAGACTGGTCTTCAAGCTTAAACAGCTCCCTAAGTTTACATGCTTCGCCTACCTTTCTTCTCGAGGTGCCTTTAGGATCCCGAGGATGCCTAGTTCATTGAAGGGGTGGAAGGATAAATGGTTCTATGTTATAGCTCGAGACCCGATCTTTCTTTTTGGCCCTTGTGGGATATCTCGGACATAGTGAAGTTTTGTGAGGGACAGGCCTACTTCGAGACACTCTAGAGAGGGATCGAAAGATGTTAGAGGATCTCGAGCCCTTGGTGTATGATATAGATGATATTCTCAGAGATGACATCCTCGACCTTGCGTGTGCAAAAGGCCTCGAGGGTAGGATATTTATTCTTCTGTTAATTTATAAATTGTGTTCGATCATAAGCTCTTGCCTAATACTTCATTTTGTACAGAGATGCCTTTTGATCCATCAGCTCTTCGTCGAGCAGTGAGATCGAAGTCAAAGGAGCCCCAGGTTAGCGCTTCTGATCAGAAGAAGGGAAAAAAGAGGCCTTGGGTATACACAACTGATGTTCTTCCTTGGGGTTCGAGAGAATCATCAAGTTCAAGGCTTCGAGCTTCGAGTCCTCTTCCTCAACAACGACAGGGGATTCTTCCCGACCAACTTCGAGGTCTTCACAGCCACTTCATCCTCGGGTAACTCTCGAGGTTGTTGATCTCGAGGATGACTCCATTCCTTCTGTTGCCTCGATCATCGAGGATTTTGAACGATGCCATATGCTTCCGAGCATTGTCGCGAAATACAGAGGCAACGTTGGGTTTGACGAGGGCATGAAGGCCCTCGAGCTCCTTACCTTGAAAGTAAGTATCGACCCTTTTATGATGTTGTGCGAAGTATTTTTCCCGTTCTAATGCTTTTTCTTTTTTCATTGTTAGACACTCAGCGTTGCTCGAGGACTTTCACTACAAGGGATGGATGAGTCCCACAAGGTGGCAGGGTTGGTCGACGCTGTGGAGCTTCGAGATAAGAAGCTTGCTGATGTTGAGGCTGCTCGATCTCAGCTCCAGAGGGAGCGCGAGGATGCGAGATACGAGTTGAGGAAAGCTCGGGATGAAGTGGGGCTTGCCAAGGACAAGGCTGAAGAACTAAAACTCGAGCTTGAATAGCTTAAGAAAAATTTTGGGGCCAAGGTTAAGGAGGCTCGAGCTTCAGCAATCGAGGACTTTAAAAAGTTCGAAGAGATGGACAGGCTGAAGGGGCGAGTATGCGTTAGGCTCGTACCTTCATGCCCTTAAAGACGCTCGGGCCTGCTAATCTTATTCCACCCGAAGGCTAGTTAAAAAGTCATTGATGTATATGCCACAAAGAGTAGTATCTTCTCAGGATGAAGATGCTCGAGGTTGCCCTCGAGGAGCTTAAGATGATCCATGATGTAGTCGAGATTCTCAAGCCGTCTGATTCTGACAACATAGTCGATGAAGTGGCCGAAGATGAGGATGCATTCGAGGAGCGTGATGTTGCTCCCAAGGATGAAGACCAAGAGTAGGAAATCACAACCCCCTTCCCCGATTATATTTTGACGATGATGTAATGAACATTGCCTAGCCATAACCTCGGGCCTCTTCCTTCGAATTTTTGAAATGAATGCTCGATTATTATTATTATTATTTTTTTTATTTTTATTTTTTTTGCATTATCCGTTTTACATTATGCTTGATCACAAACGTCGATATGATACAAGGGCTTTCCTCGAGGACTTGATCGTTTGACAAGTCACAAGTTCGATCATAGAAGGATTTATATCAATGACTTAGTTGTATAAGAATTTTAATACCAAGTATTGAACTCGATCATTACAATGATCTCAACCTTTAAGAGTTTACCTCGAAGATTGAATGGGGATAATCCTCTCGAAATGTGTGATGACTTAATCGCATGAAGTTCGAAACTCACCAAGGCACTAGCTCGATCACATGGTCGTAACATAATATGGAAAAGGATCTCGAGGACTAGATTGTGAGAAATAACAATTGTAATTAAAGTATAAAGCTCGATCATTACGTTGAGGCCAACTTATGTCGACGACCTTGTTCTTATGCTACTGAGGTCTAGGATAGTCCCGATTTATGAAAGTGCGATTCCTGAGCTTTTGGAGTCTGAATTCTCAAGCATTCCCGAGCCTTTTTAATGAGTTTAGGGTATTTATGTGCTCTGGTATATTACTTGTTCCCTGATTGGTGTTTCTTACGTGCTTACGCGAGGTAGGACTTTGATTTGCTTACTCGGGGCTAAGGCTTGAGTTGATTGTGCGGGGCAAGGCTTTAGTTGCTTGCGTGGGACAAGACTTTGATTTGCTTGCTCGGGACAAGGCTTTGCTTTGCTTGCTCGAGGCAAGGCTTTGATTTGCTTGCTCAGGGCAAGACTTTGATTTGCTTGCTCGGGGCAATGCTTTGATTTATGGTGATCATATCATCGAATTTAACTGTAATATAACTCTATAAATGGACTTGGCACGCAGGCCTTATTAATGATAAAAAAGAAAATAAATTTGGCATGCAGGCCTTATTTCTAAAATATGGTGAAGCGAGTTACTTGTAATATACCTTTAAGTTTTCGTCATTCCATGGTCTTGGGAGTGGTCTTCCCGAAGTATCTTTTAAACTATATACACCTCTTAGGAGCTGTCGTATGACTTCAAAGGGCCCTTCCCAAACTGGTCCGAGTTTTCCCTGAGCATGACCAACAGCTTCAGCCCTTCTCAACTCCAAATCTCCAGCTCTGAATCTTCGCGGCCTTACCCTTCTATTGAAATACTTTGCTGTTCTGTCTTGGTAAGTGGCTATTCTTAAGGCTGCCTGACCACGAGCTTCTTCCAAGAGGTCGAGATGTTCAGTGATGTGCCCTACTTCTTCGAGATAAGTCTTCTTTGGCTGGGTAATCTTATTTCAATGGAAAGGGTAGCTTCGATTTCAAAAGCTAACATGTAGGAGGTCTCCCCGGTGGCGGTTCTGTGGGATGTTCTATATGTCCAAAGTATGGAAGGCAACTCGACGGACCAAGAACCTCTTGCATCTCCAATCTTTGTTTGTAGGTCTTGCAAAATAATTCGATTGGTGACCTCGGCTAGACCATTACTTTGGGGATGAGAAACTGACCTCAGGCGGTGGTCAACACCTAGGTTGGAACAGAAATCCTTAAATTCTACATTGTCAAACTGCAAACCGTTATCAGTTATGAGGACCCTTGATATCCCGAACCTGTAATGATGGATCTCCAAACAAAAGCTCTTATCTTAGGCTCTGAGATCGTTTCCAGGGGCTCGGCCTCCACCCACTTGGTAAAGTACTCAACTGCAACAACTACAAACTTCAATTGTCCCCTAGTTATGGGAAACGGATCGAGGATGTCAATCCCCCATTACTCGAACGGGGCTGAGCAACTAATGTTGGTGAGGTCCTCTACGGGAGAGTGGATAAAATTACCAAACCTCTGGCACTTGTCACATTTCTTCACATATTCTACGGCATCCGTCTTCATGGTAGGCCAGTAATATCCGTACCTTATGAGTTTAAAGACTAATGCCCGAGCTCCTTGATGGTTCCCACATACTCCTCAATGAACTTCCTCTAGGGCTTGGGAGGATTCCAAAGGCTTAAGGCACCTAATGTACGGAAGGGTGAGGTTTCTACGGAATAAGACCCCATTAATAATACAATACCTTGGAGCTTTTGACCGGATGTTCCTTGCTATCGAGGATCTTCTGGAAGATTGTCATTTGTTATGAAATCCATAATTAAGTCCATTCATGACGGCTCATGATCAATGTCCATGACCCCAATGGTTGGATTGATGCTAGGCTCGGTCACAAATCTGACATATACTCTCCTGTCAAGTTCATCTACTCCCATGAACACCAGCCTTGATAAGGCATCTGCCTTGCAGTTGTCAGCCCAGGCAATCTTCACAATTTCACAACTTTTCAATTTTCGTCGGAGATCATGGACTTTTAAGCAATATAAGCCCATTTTTTCGTCTTTCTTTTCGAATGTCCCATTAATCTGCCCAACCACTAGTTGGGAATTACTAAAAATTTTGATATTTTCAAGTTCGAGGTTAATGGCAAGTTCCATGGCTATGATCACAGCCTCATACTCCGCCTCATTGTTGGTCGCCTCGAATTTGAACCTGAGTGCACGCTGAATGTCCATGAGCATGTCCGGGCTCGTTATTATGACCCCTGCGCCCGAGCCTGAGGAGCTTGATGCTCCATCGACGAAAATTTGCCAAACATCTGTTGTAGTGCTCGAGCTATCATCTGGCCCCCAAGGCTTTGGGGTGAGTTCTGCAATGAAATCCGCTAAGGTTTGGGCTTTGATGGATGGACGGACGGGGTTTGAACTCTATGTCAAACTCTCCAAGTTCAAGTGCCCACTTTAGTAACCTGCCTGAGACGTATGGCTTTTGAAGGATGTGTTTCTAAGATTGATTAGTGAGCACCACAATAGGATAAGACTAAAAATATTGTCGAAGCTTTCGTGCTGCCACTATTAGGGCAAGGGCAAGCTGCTCGGTCAAAGTGTACCTGGTCTCTGTATCAAGTAGGACTTTACTTACGTAGTAAATGGGTTGTTGAGCTCTGTTGACCTCTTTCACCAAGAAGACGCTCACTGCGTTTTGAGACACGGCTAAGTACAACAATAAAGTATCATCGGGCTTTGGTTTAGTGAGGATAGGAGGAGATGCTAACGTCTGTTTGAGCTCTTGAAAAGCCTTCTCACACTCATCATTCCATTCAAAGGATTGGCTACCTTTAAGAACTTTGAAGAAAGGGAAGCACTTGTCTGCTGCCTGGGACATGAACCTTTTTAGGGCTGCTACCCTACCATTCAATTTTTGGACCTCTTTCTTAGTCCTAGGCGATTCCATTGTGGCCAAGGCTTGGATCTTATCAGGGTTTGCTTCTATCCCTCGGTAAGTAATTATGAAGCCCAAGAATTTTCCTGAAACTATACCAAACACACACTTCTCTGGGTTGAGCTTCATCCGATATTTTCATAGGGTGGCTAACACCTCCTCCAAGTCAGATATGTGCTGCTCTACCTTCTTACTCTTTACCACCATATCGTCAACATAGGCCTCGATGTTCTTCCCTATCGAATCAGCGAAGACTTTGTTGATGAGCCTCTAATATGTTGCCCTAGCATTTTTCAACCCAAATGGCATCACCCTATAGCAGTATATGGTAGAATCAACCATGAATGAAGTCTTCTTTTGGTCTTCCTCGGCCATGAAGATTTGATGATACCGTGAGAATGCATCTAAGAAGCTGTACAACTTATGTCCAGATGTGCTATCCACAAGATTGTCAATCCTAGCGAGCGGGTAGCTGTCTTTAAGGCACGCCTTATTGAGATCCATAAAGTCGATGCAGGCCCTTGATTTACCACAGGCATTTTTTACAAGAACAACATTGACAAGCCAGTTGAGGTATTGGACTTCCCTTATGAACCTCGCTCTCATCAGTTTGCCGACCTCTTCCTGAATCACCACACGTCTTTCTGGCACAAACTGCCTTTTCCTTTGCTTAACAGGTTTGGCCCCTGGGCTTATGTTGAGTCTATGGACTGTTACTTCAGGGTCTATTCCTGGCATATCCTCGACCTGCCATGCAAAAACATCAATTTTGCGGGAAAGACAACTGATGACTTCCTCCCAGAGGCCGGCCTTGAGATCCCAACCGATTGTTACCGTTTTTCCAGGCTCGAGCTCAACCACTTCCAATTCCTCCACTGGGACAAGTCTACCTCTCGGCTCGAGTTCGAGGTCTGAAAGTTGCATAATGTCTGTACTCATTTCTCGGATGCTAGTAACGTAGCATTGTCTAGCAGCTGTTTGGTCTCCTCGAATTACTCCGATGCCATGATCTATTGGGAACTTCATGGCTAGGTGGAAAGTCGATACAATGGCTTGGATCTTGTTCAGTAGGGGTTTTCCCAAGATGATGTTGTAAGCCATAGGAGTGTTAACCACTTGGAAAGGCGTGATCTTCGTCACTTATATATTGTCAGAACCCAATGTAAGCGGAAGCTCGACGATGCCTTTTGAGATAATGACTCCACCACCAAATCCCTGTAGGGGAGTTTTTACTGCTTTGAGCTATTTGGGAGAGATCCTCATTTTAGCGAAAGCCTCCTGTGAGAGTATGTTTGCTGTACTCCCATTATCAACCAGAATCTTCTTTACTTCAAAGTTAGCCACAATTGTAGAGATGACCAAGGCATTGTTATGAAGATATGATACTCCTTCCAAATCTCTTGCTCCAAAAGTAATGTCTTTGAGTTTATCATGAGATTCCTTTGAGGTATGAGCATGTTGGCGGGCATATTACTTTCGTCCACTACTTATGTCTCCTCCAGATGCTATGCCTCCAATGATATTATTAATGGTCCCGGCAGTAGGTTGAGCACTGCTTCCTGCTTCATGCTCTTTTAGATAGTCACAGTCATTTCTTGGGCATTTATCATGACCAATATAATTTCTTAAGAGCCCTCTTTTAATGAGGGCTTCAATTTCTTGTTGCAAGGCTTGACAATCCTCCATGGTATGCCCATGATTTCGGTGAAATTCACAATACTTACTCCTATCACTTGTGTCAGGGGACGACTTCATTCTTGAAGGTCACTTCAACTCTTTCATATCTTTGATCTCCATTAAGATATTTGCCTTGGACGTGTTCAATAGGGTGAGAGCCCCTGGTGACCCTTCATTTTTGCCCTTTTTCCAAGGATGCTCTTATCGGGAATGGAATTATGTTGTTTCTTGCTCTTGGCCTTTTCTTAGGAAGAATCAGATCTCCTTGGATTCAGCCTTTCCTCCATATTAATGTATTTTTCAGCTCGAGTAAGGAGCTCGGTCATTGTTTGTGGTGGGTCTTTGATAAGGACATCTTGAAGGCTTCACACCTTATGGCGTATGTGAGGGCGAAGATAGCTGCCGTAATGTGAAGGTCAGGTATTTTAAGTCTTTCCTAGTTAAATCTCGTCCTAAATCCTCATAGGGTTTTATTTGGTCTCTGGTGAAGTTGCATGAGAGAGGCCACAGTCTTTCTGATACGCTTGCTACTTGCAAAGAAGGTTGAGAACTTATCAGCCAAATCTGAGAATGAGGCTATAGAGTTGGGCTCCAATGTTGAGAGTCAATCCCTAGTAGCATTAGTCAGCGTTTGCGAGAAGGCTTTGCACATAACTTGATCCAGTGTAGCCTGTAAATTAATGACATCGGTATATACATTGAGATGGTTGATTGGGTCAGTTGTCCCATCATATTCTTTAATGTGAGGATATTTGAATTTGTCAGGTAGGGGATATGACAATATCTCTAGCGTAAATGGAGTGTTAGGGGTAAAGCCCGTTAGCCCCCAAGCATTCCGTTGCAAGCCAGCTGTAATCCCTTCTTGAATGATTCGGGCAATCTCATCAGAATCCATAGCGACTGACCTCGAGCCTAAGGCCATATTACGAATACCTGAGGTCCCGACTCCACCAGTTGCGGGATTTGGTGCTCGGGCTTGAGCATCAGTCATGAAGCCACCATGCTCTGTTGTATTGGTGATGGATGCGAATTTCTTTGACTTAACAAATGTGTTAGCGTGGCCACTTGCTGACGGAGCTCTTCGAAGCCTTCAGTTGTGACAACTGCTGGCTGGGGTGTGGACACTCCTGACGACTCTTCTTGAGGAGTCGGTTGATCTTCAGTAGGATGAGGGATGCGAGCGGATGAGCTTGCGGGAGGAAGATCCGATTGCGTGTTAACCATGGCTTTTGGTAGCGTTTTCCACTGACGGCGCCAATGATGCTACCAAAAATCGTACTTGTTGATTTCCCGAGTTTGAGGACTTTGAATGAGCACGATCGTAGTCTTTCGTTCCTGAAACAAAGGCAATGAGGTATGCTCTCGTCGCCCCTCCGATGCTTAAGTCAGAAAGGGGATTATATGCGTGGGTAATGAGGTATGCTCTCGTCGCCCCTCCGATACTTAAGTCAGAAAGGGGATTATATACGTGAAGCTATAAACTGGAGAATAATGAAAACGTACCTGAACAATGATCCATGATCCTGTATTTATAGTAGTAGGTGACATTCTCCTAGTGAGATTCAACTAGCTGGGTATCTCTATCCAACGGAGTTCTATTAGGTGAAGGAGTTGGACCAATGCCATAATTATGTTTGGGATGGAATCCTTGCGGGAGTCAAGTATTGAAGTAATAGGGTAGAGTTAGAGTCCCAATCATATATGAGTCTTATTGGGTCAGTAATAACAATTGTAGGTTGCGAGAGGAATATATCCTGAGGACAATTCTTGCTCGAGGACAGGATCATGAAAATGAGGAAACAGTAAGGCTACAAGTGCTCGAGCATATATCCCGGGGAATAATGCTCGAGCACTACAGATGTGAAATCGCAATAGTTTTTGAGAAATGTCCTCTAGATAAGGTGTTCGAGCATAACCAAAACTTTCCATATCAAAAATCAAGTTCATACTTCAATAGGCAAGCCTCCAATCGATCCAACTTATTCACAAATTGATTCAAATTTGGAGTCAAATTTGGAGTCAAATTTGGCTTATTGACTCTACGGAACCTGCCATTCCAAATTCTTCAATTTCTGGAGGATTCAAGCATTGGGAACACCACCAATCGATCTAGAAGCATTAAAAACCCTTGGAGTGAGCTCCATTCCCTCCGATTCTTCCGGCAGCCACGTAGTTTGAAATCGGGGCATCGAATGTTCCATTTCTCAATAATATATTGCTGGTGATTTGGAGTATATTGTTGAAAGTTGTTTATCATTCAT